CGATTTTCTATCAACAGAGATACTTATCGAATTGCCATTCACAGGTGTGTATAGAGATCTCCAGAAAAGTAAGACTTCTAAAATCAATTTTTCGGTTTCATTAAAAACTTTTTGCATACAAATTCATCTATTGGAAGAAACATTTCTGAACAAATTAAGATGTCCCGTTTGTCTCGTTGATCGAAAGAAACATTAAGATATCGTTCTACGAAACAGAGCAAACAGAACTTTTCAAGATTTGCGACTATCTCACAGGACTCTAGAATTTATAGTGTTCTGCACTTTGGAGCCTTTCGTAGAATCAGTGTAGTTTGCTGAAGATAGGTTGTGGGAACTCGGGGACATCTGATCTTGCTCAGAGATGTTTTCTCTATTAGATAAAATTGCATGCAAATTGCTTTGAATAAAATCTAGAAATATTTGGTTTTCTAGAAACCTTTTACTCAAACATATTAATGGCAATTCGATAAGTATCTCTGTTGATAGAAAATCGCTTGAGCTAATCAAATATTTTATCTGAATTATTCTAGCTGTTCCTGTTAAGGAAGAAAATACTGCGCTTATAAAATTTTTATATCCACGTTATTTTTATTGTAATTTGATAATTGATTTTCTGTTATTAGACCATCATTTATGAATGATTTTGAAAAATTTGAAGCTGAACTTAATGAACTTTATGCAAATTATGTATTAAAATTTCGTATATTATCTTATTTGGAAAAAGAACTTGAAGGACATTTTCGAAGTCAACGTGAAAAAGTTCAAGTAATTGATTTTAGTTTTTTCTTTCTATTTTCAAACTGAATCTTATTAAAAATCTTTTAATTTTCAGGAAGTATCTCGGCAATATATGCAATCAATTAATTCACAATTAACAGAACAAGATCAACAAAGATTTAATCGACAATTACAAGATCAAAATGATGAAATAGGTGTTCATAGTGATGAAGAAGAAGATGGAGAAGAATCAGATGAAGATGAGTAAGATTTATTTCATTAAATAATAATCATTTATCTATTCGATGTTTTTTTCCTTAGCGATGATGTATCAGAAGAAGATGAAGCTATGGATCGAGAACCACCACCTCGCCAAGCAACTCGAGGAAATAAGCCGGGTATTTATTTATTTATTTATTTATTATGCTACTATCACATATCAATGTTAATATTGTTTTTGTTTTTTTTATAGAAAACGGTATAGGAGGCAAACCATATGGAGGTATGACGGATGAACTGAGTGAGGACGACGACGATCAAGTGCAAATGGGTAGAAGAGGCCCTGATATGAACGATGAATTAGATGCTGATATGGATCCTAGAAAAAGAGGAGGTGGAGGGAAAATAAATCGAAGACCACCTAGTGCTAGTGGCCAACGACGACAAAAACAGAAGCCACAAAAACGAGAAACATATGAAGATGATGAAGATTTTTAGTTATGTTTTATGTATTAGACTTTCATTGTCTCTATTCTTGTGCTTTGATAAAGAAAAAACAGAAATTGTATTATTATTATAATTATTCAAAATTCTTTTAAATGTTTTGTTGTCAATCGCTGTTCCTATTTAATTCTTCTTAAATAAAGACTTGAAAGTCTCAACAGACAAACATATGTCTCACTATTAATGACATTAAAATACGTTTAATATAATGTGTTGAATGACTAGTTGTTGGAAGAAAAAAGGCTAAATTCAACTACTCGAAACATTTTTTTTGGTTGCTATCAGATTTGCTTTGTATTTTGATTTGTAATGGTACATTATAGAGGAGTTACCATCGTTTCAGCTTGAATAATGTCGACAAGGTGATACTGTTATTGTTCTGTTCTGTTTTTATAGTTAAATTTATTTTTTGTTCTTCTTCTTCTTGTATTCAGTGAACTATGGCTCGTCGACTTGTATCAGAAGATTCTGATGAAGACGAATTTCAAGAGACACAATATTCTAAACTTCAGAATGGTTATCGACATGCTCGTGAGGATCAACGTGAATATACAATTGAAAAAAAAGATCAATTACGGATGCAAAGGTAAAATAAATATATACTAATGTTTATTTATTTATTTAAATTAATATAATTTAACTAGTAAAACTTTACAACAATTAACAAGAGAACGTGATGAATTAGAAAAAGTTTTTCGTTTGGCTGAAAGTCTTGAAAATCAAAAACGTGATGAAGAAAAAACAAAAAAGTTACAAGAACTTATACAAACAAAAGGTATTATTTATTCTATGTCGATGATTTTCTTCTAAATCAAATTATTTTATTTAGATGAAATTCAAAATGACATACAAAACGAAAAAACTTTATCAAGTGACTTAGATACAAAGTTACGTGAATGGGAAAAGAAAATCCGTCAGAAACAAACAGAAATTGGTGGTGCAAATGCTGCAGTTACATTTAATGCAAATGTTCGTAAACAAGAACGTGTTTTAGAAAATCGATTAGATACAGTATGTGTTTACTTTGAAGAGAAATATTTCAATAGAAAATTATTTTTTATTTTTTAAAGGCTCTTAAACGATTTAATTCATTACTTACTTCAAATAGTTTATTACGTGCTGAAATTGATAATTTACGAAATGAACGAGAACGTTTTGAAAATTTATCTCGAAAATCTGAAAATGAGCTTCGAGATTTACGTACTCAGTTAGTCGATTGTATTGAACGTTCTGTTACATCTTATGAACAACGGTAATTATTACACATTGTAAACTGTGTTTTCTAGCATTTTTAGTGAAACACAATGTCATAGTATAGATGTAGAAATTTGGACCCCTCATTCCAGACCGTGAAGCGTCGTTGATATAAAATTAAACACTGTATATCAAAAATGCCTTATTCTAATATGTGAACTACTTCTTTATTGTATTTCTAGAGAGTTAAACAATATCTTATGATTAGTAGCAGCAACTACATCGTGTTACACATTTTAATCTCGCACGAATTTCGCTTATAGATTTTATATGTATCGAAAATGTTCATACAATTTTACCTAGTTTTTTAATATGAGACTGTTATGCACTTCAAATTCGTGGAATGGAACACGAAACTGATATCGCTAAATCAAACTTTTCTATAGAGTAGAAATATGACTGTTTAGAAAAGATTTATTTTTTATACGTACTTGATAATTTCTTTTTGAAAATTTTAGTAAAGATGCCAATGCTAAAGCCATTCTTCTTCAAAGTACGTATGAAAACGTTTTTGAAATTTAGTCTTTTTTCTAATATATCGTTCTATGCTTGTTTTTTAGCTAAAGCTGAAACAGACAAATCAGCAGCTGAAGCAGAAATGAGAGAACTTGAACGACAAATTTCACATGATCGTAAATTACGTGATTTTATGAAACTTAAGTCACAAGAACGACAAGAAGATGAAGAACTTGTTACATATAGAAAACGAAAAGGTTGTTTTTTTCTTTCTTTATAATTTTAATTTTTTTGGCAAAAAGAAATTCGTGGTATGTTTTTTTTTTGTTCAGAGGCTGAAGCTGCTGAAAAACGTCGTAAAGAAAGGGAAGAACATTCAGTTGAAGCATATGAAAGTAAATTTAAACGAATTCAAGAAATTAGTGGTGAACAAGATTTAGACAAACTTGTTGACAAATTTATTGAAGGTATAAGATTTAGTTTTTTTTTTTTACTTAAAAATCTTTATTAATTAAAGATAATATCTTATTTTAGTCGAAGATAAAAATTTTGCTTTATTTAATTATGTTAATGAATTAAATAATCAAATTGAAATATTACAAGAACAAATTACGGATATTAAAAAAGAAATTCGTCGTTTTGAAGGACAAGGTGTTGAATTAGAAGAACAACGACAAAGATTACTTGAACAAATTGAAGATAAACGTTCACGAGCAAATGCATTAGCTGATGAATATGAAGAAAAAAGTCGAGCAGCACGAAAAATTCTTGATCAATGTCGAACCGGTTGGTTTTGTTTTCTTCTAACTTTTGGTCATAATTTAACTTAAATGAGTATGGATGTGGATGTTTATGTGCTCTTCATCCACATACCCCCACCTCAACAAAGACTATCGCGAAGCATTCAGAATTGAAGTGAAATCACTAACTGCGTTACAGGTGAAACGAAATTTTGACGATTGAGAAGGCATGTGACTATTCTCTGATGCTATTTAGCAATAATTTGTAGAAGAACTCAAAGGAGTCAAGAATTTCCTCGCATAATACTTCAAACAATTCTTTATTATTCACAGGTTGATAGAATATTTCATGCCATTGTTCACTGGATATCATTTTTCAAGAAACATTTTCTTAATGATGTTGCCATGAGCTATCAGGTTGATTAAAAACTTACCGAACGATTTCATCAGATAGCTTGACTCTGTGCCAAGTAATATCTGGCAGTCATGTAAGACGTTAAGTCTACAATAGTACTTACTGCAATGTCTCTTGGAAGCGACATTCGGCTCTTAAGGGTAAAGGATGCCTCTCCTTTTGCTGATTCCGAAAACGTTTTTTTTAACTCTGAAGAGGACTTCTAGTGCACTTTGTCAATTGTCATTCAAAGAAAAAGTTTTGATTGATATTTAGACCTTTAATAAGACTGAATTTACGAAGCCTCAATCACAAAATTCACGTTCAAGACCAGCTTTATTTAACACAGGGTCTATACTATACCAGTTATTTCATTGTAAAAATGTGCTCCTTACACCGAAGATGAACTTGCCTAATGATTTTCCAAGTGCAATTGTTGATAACTATTCGTGAAAAAATAAAAAATTCCAAAAAAACACAGCGTCTTGCATTCTTACGCGTTGGGCAGTTTTTTCAAAATGTTCTCAATATTTTGACTATCATTTTTCCAAGAAAAAATGCATCTGATTAGTACAATGCCTTAAAAATTTGAAAATTTTAAACACAATAATATGATGAATTTTATTGTTTATTATTAATTGTAAGAATTCTATTCTTAAAATAGGTATTGATTCCTTATTTAAAAAAATTGGTTGTGATCGTCGACAAATTGATAATTTATTACAAAGTCATGAGGGTGTAACTGAAGATAATATGTTACGATATTTGGGTATTATTGAAGAGAGAACAAATGAATTACTTACTGCTCAAGCAACAATTAATGCCAAAGTAAAAGATTTATTTTGCAATATTTAATTTAATTTATTTATCCATATTAGGAACAAAATATTCCATTACGTGAACGTGCTCCTAATCTAATTGGTGATGGTCCAACAGGACCAGCACCTCATGTTCAAGTTCATCTACCAAATACGTAAGATATTTCAAACGACAAGAAAATTCTACTTAAGAGATATTTATTTTCTTTGCATAGTGACGATCGTCGAGATCCAGATGAAAAAGACGATAGAGCAGAAGAAGAACTTAAACCATTAACGCGTGAAGAATTAAAACAACGTGCACTTGAACAAGTTAAAAATTTAGAACGAAAAGCTCTACAAGAACAAAACAAATATTCTGATTTAGCACCGACAACAACACGTGAAAAAAGTTCAGCAAGCATATCAAGAACAGGTGGTGGAGAAACTGGAAAACCACCAACATCTCGAGGGCGTTAAAAGATAATTACAATAAAAAAAAAAAAGATTGAATGAACTTTTTCTCTTTATCTTCTAATATAATAATCGGCACCTATTTTAAAAAATTTTGCTGTTTAATGCTTTCAAGTCATGTTTGATGAACTTTAAAAAAAACAGAAATCTTTTTTTTTCGAAATTGTACTGGATTGATAAAACACTTTTAAAGAAAAAATATAGATTACGTAAATTTTAAAAAAATCAAATTAGTCTATGAAAATTAAGAACTTTCTTTTGCCGAAATTAATAACAACTTGTGGAGATTGCAATGTCTTCCTTAGATTGTTTCCATTGTCGATATAAATTTTTTAGAAATGATTTGTTCAGCTTACTACTTAGTGTAGGTGGTGATTTATCGGTTAAAAATAGTAAGTAGTTCGGTTTCTTTTCGTCTTATACAAATGACAGGATTGTAATGATTAACTATCCGATCGGAAGAAATAAACTTAAATTGAATTACTATAACTGCTTGATATGTATAGTGTAGAGAGTTATTATCAGTTGTCATTGGTTGTTTATTATACTTTGAAGAAATTTTTAATTATTCTCCTCTATCAAGGACTCTTATTGAAGTTAAGAAAAATTATAATTGCGTGCTACAGTCTAATGATGAACTTATAGCATGTGTTTTATTTGCATAGGCTTAGTTATTTTTAATGAGTCGACAGAATCTTTTTCAGAACAGAAGTTTTTTAAAACTGTCTCTAATCTTTTTTAGTAATCAAAAATATAAATATCTTCAGATTTGTTGAAAAGATCGGAAGTTTTCTAATATTCTTTGGATTATGTATATTAATATTGAAAATGAATCAAAAATATGTTGACAATATTGAAACAGAATCGTCCTAAATGTTAATATTAGTAAAAAGTTAACTTGAACAGTTCTATGAGAAATAAACAATAATGTCTTGTACAGATCAAAATATAATATTGTTAAGTTTAGTTCATCAGTATGTATGAATTATCATCAATCAAAAAAAAGAACTATACTTAGACAATTTATGGAATTTTTTCGTACATTGATGCGCATTCATCTAGCGTTCAAATAAGACACTTCCATGAAGAGGAATCAAATGAGTATTATTCTACAAGAATCGTAATGATAATAGATACAGAAAACTATATATCAAGAACTAAAATAGTTTGTTTAACTCGAATGAACAACTGCCATTGAAGAACTTTCTAGCTATGTTATGGTGAATTCGTGAAATATTTTACGCGTGTTGCTTCCAGCTAGTTAAACCGTTCAAGAGTGGATGTAGACAGTAGATAACCAGAAAAAAATTGTTTATTACTTGTACTTTAATATTTTCTAGGATATTACACATGAAAACCTTGAATATCACTTCATCTTATGTATGGTTTACTGAACATATATCAAGACGATTTAATTAGTTTTTTTCATTTGACATAATTCAATACTCTTCCAAAAATTTATTTAAATTTTAATTATTTACAATTGAAGTGACATTTTGCCTTCGAAGAAAACTTTTTCAAACTCACATAACATTTTTACAAATTAATTGATTACTAAAAAAACAACAGAGCAAGCGAAATATTTCTTCTTTCGTCAAATTTGATAGTGATAAGGACATGATTCTAACCTATCTAGTCATTACTATGACGGTTTTATTCCTCGTATCACTATAAAATTTGAGTGAAAAAGAAAAATATATGCCGCCTTTTCTTTTTTTTTTGTAATTTACTCTTTGGTACAATCGTTATGTAAGTTTAGAAGTGTCTAATCAGCCGAAGATTTTTTTTAACAACATAAGATACTCTAAGGTTTCGTCAGATTATTGACATAAAGTATGAGGACTAGCTAGTGTATAGTTGAAGAAATTCATTGAAAATGAGCATTCTCTAGTGAAAGATACATAAAGAGACAAGAATGAGGAAACAAGAGTCACCCATTCTATTATATCTTTTGTGAATTATGTCCACCGTAATCATGCCAAAAATATAATAATGAAAATTTAGAGAGAAAATATTTATAGTCAACATCTTCAGGGCGTGAATGTAAGTTTTGATGAAGACGAGACAAGCTTCAACACTCAATAACTGCTCATTTTGATATGGATAACAATGATTAACTTATTTGAGGACCTATGAGTTCCACATAGTTGTGGTTATTGATGCAGAGAAACGATATTGAGCCACAAAAGTCGTTTAAATTAAAGTTTACATTAGCATTAATATAGAAAAAAAACATCCTCCATTTTCGTCACTTTTTTAACAAAACCCTGTATCTTGAATAAAATCGTAATTGGACGCCAGGAATGACGATTGTTCGATTCCTCTGCTTATTATCAAAGATTATTAATTACGCATTCATCTATCTACTTTGACTTTTATGCATATTTAAAATTATTGTTTTTGCTTATTTCATCTCTTCATTATTATTCTTCATTCGCTAAGCAACTTATAATCCGACGATATGTGTGTGTTATAAATTCCATCATCGAGCAACTGCTCTAATTGAAGATGACAATGAGTTCAATTTATGGATCTCAGAGTGAATATACAAAATGAACTGATTTTGAAACTGAATGTAAATTAAAACATAATTAATCAAGTAAAAATAGAAAGATATCATGGAAGTTATGTTTGATTTTTAAAAAAACTAAGGAGAATAGTTCCAATTAGTTTTTCCTTAAGAATAGTATGAGAGTATGGATGCAAAAAATACTCTTTGTATTCCATGTTAAAATTGATTAATTTTTAATAAGAAAAAAAAATTAAACAGCAATAACAACATTATACCTATACTTTCATCGGCTCTGTATGAGACCCACACCCGATTGAGCAACCAGAACTTACTGAAATAAGTATTCACTATGCATTTTCAAACAAACAATATCTACTATTATGTTTTCATGTGTAAATCCAATTACGACAGCATAAAGAGAAGGCGAGAAAAAATCTGTCAGACATTATAAAAAGAAGATGAAATGTGACATAGTGTATGAAATTATGTTGCAATAATCTTTTTTTTTCATTCGTTCATTTTCTTATGGCATCAGAGACAACAACTGATAAAAACAGCGAAGCAGATAAGTGAAACAACGAAAAAAACCAACGGAGACAATAATGAAAAAGAAATAGAAACATCTTGAAAAAAATTCCAACTTACTATATAAATTCATCTCATGTGACTTGTTTTCATTAATTAAACACCATACACACCATGAACAAAAAGAAAAATTCTACAACAACTACTACTGATGCTGCCACGCCGTCTGAAGCTACGAACTCAAGGCTACAACGGACTCCTTATGCTTCTATGATTCAGAACTTCGTTCTGGTATGACTCAATGCCAATATCGATACAGTGAACAACAACGATTGCATCAATACCATCAACAAATTAAGAGACGTGGTGAACAATATATATACATTCACTGATATGAATGACTGCATCGATTTTATAACCGACATTCAAGAAGAGAAAATATTTATGATTATCTCAGATGCCTTCAGACAAACAACTCTTTCTATTGTTTATGACATTTCACAAATTGATGCAGTATTTATTTTGAGTAAGAACCAAACTTGGCATGGGTGTTGGACCAACGAATGGCCAAAACTAAAAGGAACATTTACGGATATTGCTCCGATCTGTAAAGCTCTTCAACAAGTGGCACAAGAATATGACCAAAACATGATATCGATCAGTATTGTCATCTCTGGTAGTGAAGACAACAAGTCAAATCTCAATCAATTGGATTCTTCATTTATGTACACACAGAAAATGAAAGAGATTCTGTTAACGATCAATATTACGAATGATGCAGGTCGATCTCATTATTAGTATGGAGTTTTTCATTCAAGACCTTCACAACAACAATGCCGAGTTTCATGCTCACCAGTTTGCTGAACATGCGCATATAAGTTCATTTACTGTTTATTGTAGTCAAGTGCTGTCGCAAACACATGTTGATCAGATGGTTAAAATCAAAGGCGGACTATTATCATATAATAACTTTTTATCCACAAGTCTTGATCGAGAAATATCTCTTGTGTTTGGTTACAGCAATCGAAATGATCCTGATCAGATCGGTGTACTCTTTGAAATAACTATTACTCCATCAACATCGACTATTCCTTTCGCAAACGTCTAAGATACCAGTCATTTCAAAGATGAAGAAGAAATTCTCTTTTCCATGCATTCCATCTTTCATATTGGGCAAATGAAGCAAATCAATGGGAGTAATCGTCTTTGGCAAGTGAACTTAACATTGACCAATGACAACGATCCAGATCTCCATGCACTTACTGAACAGATACGCCGAGAGACCTATCCTAAAAACAAAGGATGGGGCCGTTTGGGTATGTTGCTAATTACACTAGGACAGTTTGGCAAAGCCCAAGAGTTATATGATATTTTGCTTGGTCAAACAAGGACTGACCTGGAAAAAGCAGATATTTATCATCATCTCGGAATCGTACAGGAGAGCCTAGGTGAATATTCAGAAGCCGTTGTCTATCATAAGCAATCCATTGAAATTAAACAGAAGATTCTCTCACCAACGCATGCCGATTTGGCAGCTTCTTACCACAACACCGGTTCGGTTTATGACGCCATGGGTGACTATTCAAATGCACTTTCATTTTATGAACATGCAGTGAATATTTTACAATGCTCAGTACCTGCAAATCATTCTTATCTTCTCGGTACCCGAAAAAGTATTGAAATTGTAAAAAAGAAAATGTGATTTTTTGTTTTGTTCGAAGAATATTTTTCTTTTATTTTTATTTGAAGAGATACACCCGCATACGGAGAAACTTTGTCTTATCGGTACCATAATGGAAGTATGGCCAGCATTAGAATCAATGTATATATCCAAATGATGGATATGTATCATACATACAATACCTTGATGATATAGTTTATATTTCAATAAGTAGAGTTTACTGTGTCGAATATAGAACTATTCTATAGGTGAAAAAAAAAGAGAAAGAAGAAAACAAATTTCTTTGATTCATGGAATGCATTATTCTTTATGTTCCAGCGCAGCAATAATTCATTGCATGAAGAAAAAAATGGAAAACAATGCTCATTGACTGAATGATTTATTTTCCATACGATTCGAAGCGAACAAAACCCACCGGTATAGTGCACATTATATAGATCAATATACCGGCGATTTACGGCCAGTTTTTTTTTTGAAAGTGGTGCATCATGGCTTATTATATCAAAATGGCAGAATATTTTTGAAGTCTGTTAAAACTGTCAGCATTGAGTCTATTTCAATACACTCTGAGAATGTTAATGTCACTGAGGAGTCTGTCTTTGCCATAGAGCCCGAATCGGTTCGGTTCTAAGATAATTTTTTTTATTAGGGTGTGGTTGTTAGTGAATAAAGAGAAGACCCACACCTCACCTTCACCCACATCCACACCAAAACTAGATAAATTTATCTTAGAATATTCTATGAAATTATATCTGTAAAACATTGTAATTGGTATGTAGACGTTGAGCACATGAAAATTTGAAAACAACTTCAAATTCTGAATATGATGTGATGTGTGACAACTTTGTCTAGAAAAGTATAGAAACAATATATTAATTTGAGACTGGTGACAAAGTGCGAAGAGATTGTTTGTCACTACTCATTGAAAGAAAACAGCAATCTATTATTAAATAGTTATATTTCTTGAATAAAAAAATCAGTTCGAGTTTTTCTTGTTATACTAAATTTCATTATAAAAAACAATTTATTTGTTGGAAATAATATTTTTGAGTTTGTCCATCATTGTTGATGATTCAGCTTTAACCGATAATTCAACATAAACTTCTCGTTTTGATGAAAGATTCTCTTGACTTATTTTTAAACTATTGACTTGTTCACGAATTTTTTGTCCATTAATTGGTAATCGATAAAGAGCTTCAACTAAAGGAAATATATCAGCTGCTGTAAGTATATCTTTGCTATTTGATGGATCTTTTTCATTTCTCACTGTGTCTTTAAATAAATTCATTACTGTTGCATAATCTTTCATTGTTTGTTCAAGACCTTGAATAACATCATTACTTTGACAACCAGATTTGTTTTTCAATTGTTCTTCTTTTATAAAAACTGTATAATATTTTAAAATATCATCATTTATTAAAATTACTGCATTTGCATAAAGAAATTTTGAAAGTTTTTTATAAATATCTTCAATTTTGGCTTGTTCTTCTTTTAAATCACTAATTTGTTTATCAATATCACTTGATGAACATACTTTATTGAGATAACAAATATTAGTTTCATATTTATAAGTTATATGTTGATGCTCTTTCCATGAACAACCACATTTAGTACATTTCCCTACAAAATAATACTTATTTAATTATATATTTTTATTCTTTTCTTTTTAAAAAAATATTTTAAAATAATAAAAAAGACAAAGTGAAATCAATTGAAGCTATTTACCTCAATTGAAAACCTCTTCATCTGTTTTGAAAGAGGATTAAAACATTTTACAAAAGTCAAAAAATATTGTCTTTTATATATAACAAAAATGACTCAAGATATTCTCATTAAAATAAAAATTTAGCATAGTTTCCACATTTTTATATTTGAAATATTATGTAACAAATGATCTTTTCAATATTTGTCCGAATTTTATTTTAGAAAAAGTTTCAAACCTTGTTTAAAAATATGGCAATTGACTTTCAAATCAATAATCAATTTATTGTCTTATTTAGTTTCTCGAAAATTAATTGTTTTAATTCTATTGTTTTTATCGAAAGACTTCTTGACAGTTTAATGATGAACATCTCATGAAAGAAAATTCAAATCGAATACGATAAAATGATATTGGTCAGATCAGACATAAATGAAAGTATTAAATAAAAAGTTGAAACTATAATAATAATATAGTCACCGAGAAAAACTATTCGTGTCGCTATAACTAATAGAAAGCAGTCATTTAACTCTATTTCTCTTAATTTGTTAGGTAGGATGTCCCAAAAGTCACCTACCAAAACTTTACATATCTCTATTGTATTTTGATATAAGTTTATTCCTGATGATAGAGAATAGTTCCAAGTTTTTATTGATGAAGAAAAAATTTGAGTTTCTTTCTTATGATTCTAGTTACTCTTTATTTTAAATTTTCGCAGCACACAAATGATGGTGATGGAGTCAAAATACTGAAATGTCGAATTTTTTCTGCAACTCTATAGTCATTCGACATTTTCCAGTATTTCAACACCAGCACCATCATTTGTTGAAAATTGTTTTTTATGAAACTGATCAACGACACAAGCTCTAATAATTGAAATAAGTCAAAAAGGTTTTGAATACGTGCTATGCTTTCATGATTGGGTACGAATGAAAAAGCATCAGTGAAAAGACTTAATTCTATATTGAAGTAGGCAAGGCTTTATATCTCAAGTACATCAAGAAGCTGTTGATTTATGAAAGGAAAACCAGTGAAACACTCCAACAACTTAACTTACCTTTTCAAAACGTGATGGCGATATGCAACTTTTTGTTGATAGGTGACTTTTCAAGAGTTACCAATGTTCTCAAATGTTTCTGCAATAGTCAAGTCGATTAATTAGTCGAAAATTGAAAAGTTCAAATTATTTGTTAAAAGTGATACTATAGGAAGCAGTTATTCCATTGAAAAGAATAAACTGTTATAAAAAATCTCTCTAGGAGAATAAACTAGCTGAATGTCTCTTTTAGTTGAAACATATAAAAGAATAAAAGGATGGATGTGGATGTGGATGTGAATCAAGACAAGCTCACACCCGGATTAAAATAATAAAATTCATTTTATATAAAAACTATAAACGATGTTCATCTTTGCTGAATAATTTATTTTGTAAAAGTAAAAATATTTTACCTGTTTCATGATCCATAGTCTCACATTCTTTCATACTTGGATCACTAATGGTATCTTGTAGAATACCTTTACAATAACATGTTTCATGACATTTAGATGTATATTCAATTTTTACTTCATTATTAAGCGTAACAGGTTTACAACACTTTTCACTAACACAAATTATTCGTGGATGTTTCAATTGCTTAATTCGAACATCATTTTGTGGTAAGCCTTGAGATGCTATGTCAGGATTTTTAAGAACAGTTTCTTGATGGGTTTTAGCAAATTGAACATTTTGTTGGATAAGTCTAACTGCTTCAGCTATTGGACGTGTAAGTTTTCGAATCAATTGTTCAGCTTCATTGAGTGAAAGAGTGCCACTAACAACATGAAGTGGACGTGTAGTAATATAGCCCATAAGATTCGAATATTCTTTAATAGAATGGTACCAACTCTTTTCATAACTTGGTTTTTGTTCACTACTTAATTCAATTCCGTTTCTACGTAAGGCTAAATATCGAAATGGTTCATTATCTAATAAAAAACTATTTTCTCTTGTAAAGGGTACTTCTACATTTTGTCTTGATTTAAGTTCATTTAAAAGTCCTCGAAGAATTTTTGATGTTGAACCAGGTGCAAAAAACGTAGAACGAGCATTTGTAAAAACAAAAATAATATTTTCTCTTATACTTTCATGTAAATGTCGAAGAAGTTCATTAACACAAAATCTAAAAAGTATTGTTAAACGTTCTTCATTTGGTCTAAGTAAAATACAGATTCCATTTAAATGTTCATATTGTGAAATAAAAGTTAAAATTTCATGAAAATTTTTAGTATCTTGTTCAAGACCTCGAGTATCTCCGATTCCAGGTGTATCGATTATTCGTAAATTCTTTTTACCAACAGGAAAAACAAAACTTCGACATTGTTGTGTACATGTTTGTCCATCCTCATTTAACTTTTCATATTCATTTTCTTCTCCAATTTGTATTCGTTTTTCTTCAAATGTCTCTTCATGAGTAAAAGAAAATGCTGATGGAATAAGAACTTGCATTTTATCATTAATGGCTTCTTCTAATGTATCATTACACAAATAATGAGCGAAAGCATTAATAAATGTTGATTTTCCAACACCTGTTTGGCCCATTAATAAAACATTAATATCAATCGATGAATCACTGTTTCTATTTTTTTCTATCGTAGACAGTTGATTTCTGCTCGCCATACTTGATAGTTTCGATGAAATATAAAAACTATTAATTTTTTTTTTGTTATTTTTTAAAATAATTTGTTCTTTTTTCAAGAGATGAATGAAAGAATATTTCTTTTTTCTTATCGAAAAATTTTAACTTTGCATTCATAAGAATACGTTTAAATATAAACACACAATCGTTTATTAATACTACAGTACATGAGAAAAAAGACAACCGGAAAAAGTTGTGTCTGACAATTAAAGACTCAATTGTAGGGCTAGTAATGTGAAACAGCTTTTATCTATATGAAGATTTTAGAACCTATATCAGATTTTTGACTTGTTTCTCGCATATTCTAACTGCAAAAGCACCCAGTAAAAGTTCCTCGACAACGGGCACAACAAAAGTTTAGTAAATAAAAATGTCTCTCCTCTAAGATTACGTAGTGGAGAATATACAGTTTGAAGTTAAGTGAGACTGCCATTTAGAGATAAAATTTCATGCTGTATCTGATTTTGGGATTGAACAGATCAATAAGAGCCAATATAATGTCAAAAACTGCGATATACCAGCCAAAATATCCTTCTTTTCTCAGTAGTGATCGACTTTTTCGAGTTTTCAATCAATGCTGCTGAACGATTTTTTTTGAGCATTTGTGTTTCGAACACACATAGAAATTTCTACGATGGCGACGGGAAATTTCCAGTCACAACCAAGATGAAAAATCAAGTTTCATTGACAATGGGATAACTTAGGAAGAACATATTCATTTTGACAATCATTTTTTTTGTATTACAAGAGCCATGGCAACTTTTCATTGGCAAAACCTAAGGTTAAAAAGCACAGTGAAATAGTGATGACTTCAAAAAAGAAAAGTTATTGTTATCAACTCTTGCCTTGACAATATGCTCTATTTATAAAACTATTTTTGGTCGAATATCTAATTTAGCTATCTAAGCATAGTTGAAACATAAATGCTCCGAAAAATAGTTCAGTGGCATTGATCCAAAAACGAGAAAAAGCCGATGGCTGACGAGAACATTAGTGTATTTTTTCTGGTATATCGTAGTGTTCGATATGATGAATTTTATTGATCTGTTTAATGGTAAAATCGAATACAACCTGAAAAATTACTTTCCAACTGATCCAGTCTCACGTAACTTTGAAACTGTATAGTCCACTAGGTACTCTTGAATGAAGAACACCTTTACATCCTATACTCTCATCCTGCCCATATTTCTCAATTAGAAGCAGTTAAGTTTGTCTGATGATCTTCATTGATGCATATTCTGATATAGTTTTGAAAGTTACATGTTGAAGATGTTTTTGTGAGCTTTATAGTGGTTGGCATATGCGATTAATAAGATTGTAACAATAATACTTGAGATCGACGTTACGAACTTGTTATATCTACCTAAGTTTGAAAATTTTCTTTCGAAAATCTACGAAGAAGGAGTAGGACAAAGTGTCCTAAAGTCTTGTGATTTCAAAGAAATGACTATGCTGGACTTTTTGCCTATATTAATCTTGTTACTTTCATATGGTGGTTTCTTGAAAACATTTGAGACAGAAAAGTGTCTTAAAAGTCAGTAATCCTTTCATAAGAGCTTCTTTTTTTTCTAATTATTTGAAATAATTAGAAAATTTTAACGGTTTAATTCGATTTCCTACTGATTTTTTGTCGATTCGATTTCTTTACCTGTCTTTACTTCGCTGTTTTGCTTCAGGACGGTGTAAAAGAAACCACGCTGTTAGTGTGTTTATGTGCCTTTTATCCAAAGAAAAAAAATCTCTTTTGAGACTTGTTTTTATCAACAATTGCTGTCAAAGAAAAGGAAGAAAAAAGTGGATTTCTCCAAGTAAAATTGATTGATGGTGCATCTAGTTGAAAGAATTACATACGGTATTTGATAATCTATGTTTTAGTTTTGATTAAAAACTATTGATAATTCGAGGAATATTTTTCTATAACAAAAATATTTAAAACAGATATTTTATAAGGATGACTGGGTGCACGTGTCGATGTGGGTGTGGGTGATTCTTTCTCTCCCTACATCTACACTCTTTCTTATTTATAGCCACATCTTTTTTCAAATAGAATACAGTAGCGTTTCCGATTTGTGATACTTGTATCAACGCTATGAACAAGTGTATACGGAGGAAAATAAATATGCTGGTGTAGATGTTGTTGTAAAAGAGATCCACATACACACCCCATATCTACACCCAATAGAAATAACATGTTATTACATCAAATGTCAAAATATTATATCTAATATAATATTCTTATGTCTAGATAGTAAAAACTAATTAGTCTTAGTAAAAAATTCAATGCTTTTATTTTGGCAAATATGTAAAATATATTGTGAAAAAATAAAAGATTTTGTTCATTATTGAGTTTTATTTAAATTTCAAAAAAAAGAAAACTTACACTGATATAAAATGTATGACTTAATGTTTTCAAATGAATAAAGAACTGAATGATACGAGGAAGATTTTTGACAAATCGATAAATATAAAAATAAAAATTTCATACATGTAAAATTGCAAATAACCAATGACGCAATATGTCACATGGTATTTTCTCAAAAAGTAAATAAAAATCACAACCGATGTTTATTTTTTACTTTTCTCCGATTTTGAGAATGAAAAAATAACGACGCATGCTTTATGATGAAAGATTCTTAGTTAACTTCATCAAACATAAGTTTGTTTAAAACAGTCCCAAAGCTAATAGATATTTCCTAGAGGCTGTGGGTTAGAGATCAGCGGGGAACCCCTAACCCCGGTCTCCGCCCCGATCCCGCCAGGGTCAGAGGTTCCGAATTTTTTAGGTACTCCCCGAAAAATATTTTTTGTTTTTCTGTAATACAAATTTATTTATTTTTACAGTTAATTAAAGAGTAAACAGACGAAAAAGAAAGACAAAGGTATCTGATCGTCAGAATTCAAAGGTTCACTAAAAAAGACAATAGAAACTCAGAAAAAGATGATGTGGATGGATGTGATTGTGGGTGCTGTGAGTCGACTGGGTGCACTCCTAGTTGCATAGAAGGCTGACCACACACCATACCGACGCCCGTAGCCATAATCCACTCACGCTCACACCCTCATCTACCATCACCCGCATCCACATATTTAACAGAATCATCTCGTTTTCTTTATAAGCATCTTCGAGTTCTTTTCGTGTTAACAACTTTAAAATCATCTTTTTGTTTCATACAAAAACGAAGAGAAGGGAACGAGAGAAAGAACAGAAGAGAATACCTTGTTTTTTCACAATTGATTACGTTAGACTGTCTAACAATCAAAACTTGTCTAAATTTCTTCGTCAACAGAATGCCGCGCATATTAGATGTCAGCTATTTGTGAGAAAAAATCGGGGGTCTTCGGGGTCCGGTACCCCGAAAAAAAATTTCTAGGGGTCGGGACCTGGGAGAAATAAAAAATATTTTCGGGTTTCGGGGCTAAAAAGTTTTACCCCGCTGATCTCTAGCGTGAGTGGGTGTGAGTGTCGGTGTGGGTGCGGGTGTCGGTGTAGGTGTCGATGCGCGAGCAGACAAGAATGAGATCCATACTCACACTCACACCTACATGCACACCCTACACACCCACCAACCCACACCAATATCCACACCCCACACCCACACCCAACACCCACCAACCCACACCCACCAACTCACACACCCACACCCACACCCACACCCGCAGTACGGTGTGTGTGTGTGATTGGTAGTCAATCATCATTACATCCTCACCCACACCCACATGCATCAAAAATGAGTTGTGAAAAAATTATAATAAACTTGCGAATAATAACCCGAGATGAATGTTGATTATCAGGATAATCAAATTAGGCTCAGATTTTTTGAGACGCCAAGTCCGAAATTTGGCACACATCCTTTGTTAGAATTCATCACATGCATGTATGAGTCGATTTATCTTGATTACAATAATACAGATGAAACAAGAAATTAAGACAAAATCACTGGATATACTAGGGAATCGATCTTTATCAGTTCGTGAACTGTTCACCTCAATTTGCTTAGTCACACCACCTGCGCCACAACTACCTCCATTGTTGTCGTTTCCACCATAATCGCCACCACGTTCATCATCACAACGCCGCCGCCTCCATCATCACCACATCAGCTCCATAATTACCAACAACGTCTGCACCTCCACCATAATTATCACCCGCATCTCCGCCGTTATATACCATGCCGTCATCATTGTTATCATTCGACGACATTTGTCTTGCTCGTGTTACGCTTGATTCTATATTACGAAAAATAATAATGGAACTGTTTGATTACAGTCAAATTTACCATGTGATGGCGCCGAGCTGCCACAACCCATCGTGATGCTTTACGACAGAAAAAATGCAATGCGTTTATGTTAGGCAGAAAACATGCAGCTGTGTACGAGCTACGATTGAAGAACGGAAATAATGAGCATAAGTAAACAACATATGAGAGTAACAATGAAAAATATAAAAAAACGCTGCCGTCGCCCGGGATAGCGACTTCACTGACAAACACTCTGCTTTCTCTTTCTTATTCTCAAGAAAAAAATGCTTTTATTGTGGAAACGATCACGCAAAATAAAAAGTTTCGAAACTTGTCACCATGTTGTGTCAACAATTTTCTTTCTGTTTCTTTCAATGTTTTTCCTGTGCGATATTTTCTTCAGAGAGTTGAAAATAAATTAGGTAGTTAGTATTTGCATGGGAAGAATGTCGGTGTGAGCGTGAGTGTGAGGTGTGGTTGCGTGCGAATGTGGGTGGGTGTGAGTGGAGATGAGTGTGGATCCGAGCGTGGGTCTTTTGCTTACCCACACCCCACTCTTGTAAGATCTTATTATTGCATAAGATTTTCTATAAGGTTATAATCATGTCTTACAATTCAGTAACATCTTTGAAGAATCTTATAGTACAAATTAATATCAAATTTTCGAGACTACGATTTTTTGTCTGATCTTACAAGATCTGACAACATCTGATTCAGAATCTTGTCAGATCTTTGTATCTGATTGTTTACCCGGGGTAAAGAAATAAACGTTGTAGTCAAACAAAGAAAGTACATGTTCTAGAACCCATAAGTAATTTTTAAAGCTCATATATGGCAATAATAAGGAAAGTCAGAATAAACTTAATAAATGATTACATGTTGATTCATTTAGAAGAAGCTTTCAGAACTGATTATTGCCAGTATTCGAAGTCATGTCCATCAGTTCAAATATATAATCGAGCCCTTCAAATAGAAATTATCACCTCCATGGTAACACTGATATTCGATAATCGAAATTTTTGAGATATTCTATTTATTGATTTTTAAAGTAACTAGTTCGAAAATATTGCTCTATGTACATTAATAGAATGTTATTAAGAAAGTTTGCTTTGACGTTGCTTCGTTCTGATCATAGACGAGAACAGAATATCATCTATAGGTTGTTCAATATGTATTTTTGATACTTGACGGCAACTTACCTTTGTATAGTGGTATTAATAATCATATTTCAAAGCAGTATGTATTTATGTGATTGGTATGACAAAGAAAACGTTGGATTGTACTTTATCGGCAACTGAAAAAGGCCAACAAGTTTGTTTTAACCGATAAAAATATATGATTAGATAGTTGGTCAGTACAGTATACAACAGTAGATGTAATTTTATTTCTGCTTTCTCATTTTTGTTACAGTAGACAAAAATAATATTTTTAATTTTCATTCTCATTTACAGCGGTCAGATGAATGTTGATTTTTTGAAATGTGTAATAGCATTTTGACTAAAACATCTAGATTTTGGCTATAGAATCTATATAAAGCAGGTAACTTATTGTGTGCATTTGATCTCTTGTTCTAGTCCAGTTTATGACAACGTAACACGTGATGCGGAAGTGATGTGTGTCGTTCTTCGAACCTAGAGTAAGATAAGAGTTCAAATTAATACAATGAGTTTCTTCCTATATATATTTGATTGCCAAAATTTAGATGTTGTAGTCAAATTTTTAATAGAGATATATAAAAAAAACTGCTTTCATCTGGACACTCTTAAAAAGAATAAAAACAAAGAATATTAGTTTTTTTCTGCTTGAAAAAAATGAAAAAGCAGAAATAAGATTGCATTTATAGATTCGTACTGTACTAAGCTAACTATACAAATATACATTACGAATTATATGGTAATAGAGTATAATTAAAATGTATAGTTTTAATTTTTAAATCTCCTATTGCTCGGAAAATTTAGATTAGAAATTATAAAGTTCAATAGGATTTTTGAGAATATTCGTTCATTCTCGATTCCTCTTTTCTAGTAAAATATTTATCATTTTGGCATTAAATGTATAGATTCCCGTAAAATGTTGAAATAATTAAATATCGAACTGATTATAATGGAATAATTATTCGATCGAAACTAATTTGTTCTTTTCGCATTGCTACAGTAAATTTCTTTCTTCTTCATAATAGTCCTAGTGAAGTTCCTATTTTTTGATATTAACAGTAACACAAAACATATACTATCAAGCTAGAATCTATGTTGGTTGAGTTGAAATGTTTAGCACAGATATTGAAGTATATTCCGCAAAGATTTTTTAGAGAAACAGTTGAGCTATTTATTTCTGGTTCTCATTTGGTAGCAGCACTATTTGAAACATTTGCCACACCGAAAATTTTACACAGAAAAAGAACACGTTAGATTTCCTTAATAAATTTCAACTCCATGGAGTGAAGTTCAACTTCCAGTTTAATCATTTATACTCAGTTCAAAAAAACAAAAGTAATAAACAGAATCGGTAAGGAAAATAGTGTAACAGTTTTCGCTGTTTTATGATAGTGCGTTGCCGTAAACGAGGAAGATGACTTCCTCCATTATCGAATTAATCATTAACATTTGAGTCAAGCGTTGGTCAGGGTGTGGGTGTGGGAATGAGTGATGGTTTGGAATTTTAGTTCTCTCATTACCCACATCCACACCCCACCGTGAAATTACACTTAGGAGACGATTGTATTGAAGAACACAAGTGGCAACAAATTATTCGTCAGTATCTTCCAACACCGAAGATTCTATAATTTCTTATGTCACATAAGCTTAATAGTAAGGATAACAAAGAGCAAGAAATAAGCCGGATGCTTTATACTTTTCGAAGTCATTTTTTAATTAATGAATATCGCTGGTTTGTTCAGTGCTATTGGAATCTAGGTCAGACAATGGCTTACTTCAGCACATTACCATATAACTTCGAAGAATTTTCTTTTTCTTTTTCACGTTGATCAAAAACAAGTTGCCTTCATGAAAACAATCGATGGTCGTATAATTCTGTGCGTTCACTTGTATATCATGCTTTAATATCGAAATACACGAGTTTATCTGACATTCAATTTTTTTAAAATTAGAAATCTTTCTATCAAACTTCCCATCGACGATCATTTTTGGTCTACAATTCCAAACTTTAATCAAGCGAATTATCTTGTTGTATCATTGAATGATGAATATGAGAATTGCCGAAATCAATTACAAATTTTACTCAAGCAAATGCCTTGTTTATCGACTTTACTTATTCAAGAGTGTTCATCGTCAGTTTTACCAGCATTAACATGTCAAAACACACATATATCTGAGTATTGTCTTGACTTACTCTATTCTGATTTAAGATACCATAATAAACAATGTGTGACACTGAGTTCTCTGCCATTTGTTAATCAATGTAAAGTACTTGTTATTGCTCTTGAATATCGAACATGTGTACTTGATCTTGTCAATATATTGAGCAGTCTTCAAGCTTTAAGTATTCTATGTCTCGAGATGATAAGTGAAATTTTCGAACACAGCCGACCGAGAATGAGCTTGTCGATTGATTTCAACAGCATCCATCATCATCATACAGAGCCCGAAGATATTTGGATATCAAATCATCGGACTATGGATACGTTGACCAATCTTCTTTCGATATTAGACTTCAACTAAAAAAAAATATTTACTTTTCTTTAAAGACATGACGAACGACGAATATACAAACGAAAAAATTCTCTTATAACAGAATGAGAAGTTCAAAGCCAACTCCAAATGATACGAATCCTGCTTCAGAATGTCTAGATGATGATAAACAAAAATTTGTTTCAGAACTTCACAGGAACTTTAGAAAAACGATTTTTCAGAGGATAGTTTTTGCAGTCCGATCGGGCTGAAAGTTTCATCATAGATATAGTGTGTACCGTAGAGTTTGTTCTGAAATTTTCGAATTGTTGTTCTTGTACTGTTAGTGAGATATTCGCTAATTGCTCTTTAATTAACTAATTAACTGACTAGTTAATCAACTAGTGTAGTAATTAGTATTCAACTGAAAAATTCAACATTTCTAAATGTTTATGCTAAAGGAACTTGCTGAAAAAAGTAACCATTGTAAAAACTCTAAGTCAAATGAAAGGTGAGCATGGGTGTAGATGCTGATGTTTACATATGGAAGACTCACACCCACACCCACAATACATAGGCCCTCGACGAACGAGTCGCGTGAAACGTGTAGAATAAAACAGAATTGTACAAATGTAGTGCTGTGAGAGGGAAGGCTCGAACATTATGCTAATTCTCGAGAAACGAAAGCGTTGCCATTCCACCATTCTCCCCATAAACAGTGGTAGATCACTCTAAGAATGCATGCGGACACCATCCCCGATATATATTTGAAGTGATTTTGATATTGTTATTTAAAATAAGATAGAAAAAAAGCAAAAATCACTATGAATTTTCTCTTCATCTTCAAATCTCCTCTCAGTCATATTCTCGTGCGCTAATTACTTAGAAAGGTAATTGGCATAGGACGGTAACCTCAAACCTTTCAATTACTATTAACACTTCACGATTAATTCACATTTATCGAAAATGACCAAGATTGATTGTAAGAAAAGGGTCTCTCATCACTTTTTGCTAGTGGTTCTATGTACCGATTAATCGTCTACTTTTGTTTGACATGCCATCATTATTTCCCTTATATTTTTCTTTCTTCTCACATGATCAGCGATAATCTAACAGCCAGATAACTATGTGCGCGAATATGTAATATCTTGAATAATAAACAGACACTTTTCCGTATCATGCTAACATATATCTGTAGTAATCGAATAATTTTGTTTTAAGCTTCAAATGACTTTGACATTTGAAGTATTTATTTGTTCTAATCTAGAGTTATACTCAAAAACAAAAAGCTTGACAAATGCGTATATATGTGTTATTCTTCATATCTTCGTTTTTAATCTACGTTCCAGATCGATAATGTCAGATGATAAATTTCACAGTACAATTGAGCTGTTATCCGTAGAAGTTTCGCGAGAAATTTTTGAATATTGCAATTCAAATGATTTATGGTACTCATTTGGTGGTTTGAATAGAAAAATCGATGCAATTATTGATCGAACAGCGTTATATTTAAATTTTGCACAACGAGGTACTTATGGTAACTTTATGAAAAATATTTTGTTGCCGATGAAGGCTGTTAATGCTCGATCATTAAAGTTTACGAATTCCAATGAAATACAACATTTTTTCTCTAAATTTTCTCTTGATTCATTGATTAGCCTTCGTTTATTATTCTTAAAGTTTATCTATTCTTTTAATGATAATTCGTTTATATTCTGGAATCAACTTTCATCTTTGAAATATCTACAATCGTTGAAAATTATCTTTTGTGGTATTTCGAAAGTTGGTAATTGTGTTCAGGAAAAGAAGTATATTATTCATTCGATATTCAATAAAGATTATTGTCCTTCATTGAAATCTTTCATCATCAGCACTTATGGTACACAACAAGGCGTATCCACAATTACGTCGCTAATTACAACAATTAAAAAAACAAATATTCAATATGTGTCGATCGACTTGTTGACTTTTAATGATTTGATTTTAACTACTCCCTACTCTACAAAATGTTAAATCATTTTGCACGGATAATCTGTTACTTGATGATAATATATCTAATGAACAAAACCAGTCAATGATGATTGCCATGTCGTTGCTACCTAAATGTATTCATCTACATATAAAATTATCAGATGATATAACATTTGAATACATCGAATATTTATTAAAGCAAACACCTAATTTAAAAAAATTATTCGTGTGGAGTTGGCATCATTTACTTCATGCTAAGAAGTGGGAATCTTTACTATCCATGTACTGCACGAAGTTGATAAATTTTCAATTAATATGTACTGGACCAATTTATGATGATAATTTTAATCAAGCAATAGATGATTTCCAACAAATATGTCATGCAACATCATTTTGGTTCGAACGAGATGTTACAATTTCAGATAATGAAGATTTGTCGGCTCATGATTATTGTGCTGACGTTAGTGTTCAATTTAATATTAAAAACAAAATGAGTTTAATACAAAATGTTCATTGTTAGCAATATAAAGAAAGCATTTGTAAACCTGAATCATTTATAGGAGTGATTAAGATAAGATAATTAGCTTAAAACTTTCTTTCTATACAAAGCTATATACAATAACTTGTGTTAAATAATTTGCTATACTAATAATTCTCTTTAAAAACATCGGTAAAAGATAAAAGCAATGCAAACTGAAGCTTTGTACAAAGAGATCGATTATGTCATAGTTTTATAAAAAAAGTTCACTTTAATCAAATTTTTATTAAGGATGTTACAAATAAGATATGAGAATAAATAACTGTGACTCCTCATATTCAAGTAACGATCTTTATCTCTTTTGTTAACTGGTCAACTTTCTTGCCAAACTTTTGTTTCTTACCATATTTTACCACATTTTGTTCCTGATTTTTTTTTATTATAATTTCTCATATGATGTCATAAAAGATTCTCGTCTGGAACGGCAATTAAACAAGCTAACATTCCAGAATTCAAATCAACCGAAAAATCATATTTTTTGTGGATATCACTCATGATTGCATGAAAATACATTTACAGTTTTGTCAACGAGTTCTGACTGTTTGACTGGAATTTTAGGGCCAACTAGAGTAGCCAAAAGTATACTTTTTATATGAAATTTGAATCAAAACGATAGTAACGTACAAAAAATATTAAAAGAATAATGCATATTCTTTATTTTGGTCAAGGTCATATTTCGTTGTCATCAAGATAGTTTTTTCTATTCTCTTTTTTTCTCATGACACTTAGTTATCACAGTCATTTATTCAGACATACTATTCAAAACATTCATATTATTGTATTCACATCCTCCACATACGATGAAGTATTATTGATTCTTATTCTTCAATGAACTGAATTCGTCTTTCATCAATTGACTATATCATCAATTTAACAATCTTCAATATCTCATAGATTATATTCAACAATTGTAGTGTGTTAAAACCATGAAGGATGATTGTTAAAGTACTTTTAATTCAGAGCTGAGCAAGGTTTTCCTGAAAAAAAGCGGTTATATTTAAAATTACGAAAAAATATTGTTTAGTGAACAGAATGTGAATTTACCATTAGCGTCAAGTAACTTCACGTTCACGTATATTCTTTTTTTCATATTTTTTCTTTTCACTTTAGTCAAAACAGCCTATTGGACTGTCTAAACAAACGTTTTTCACTTGGAACTTCTATGTGTCTTGTTGTTTATTACTTCGTTTTTGAGTTTTTTTCTTTTCTTTCATTGAAAACTTGTCTGTGAACTTTTTCTGTCGATATATCTGTTACTGTCATTATATTTTGTTCTACTTATTCTCCAACCACCTAAGTAATACTTTTTCTTTGACTTGTGTAATTACAACAGATAGCAAAAATTGTAGAACTATGCAAAGTTTCATCTTCGTTATGTTGGTGAATAAAACAATGTTGGTGCTCTTCGATTCAAAAACAATATCTTCACTCTCATCATATTATTTTGGAAGATTTAATCATCTGACATCACATTTTATTTGAAAAGATCAACAATGTTAGACGTTTTAAAATGAATGAATTATCCTCATAATTTCTCACACTAGTGAATTTTACTATAAGCGAAATTCATTTTGTTTTGCTACAAAAATTCTAAAAAGAAAACATTAAGAATGAGCATTTGCTCTCAAAGACTGGCGACAATTAATTAATTTTGTTAGTTTTCGTTATGTTGAGGGTAATTCTTTTAAACATCTTTGTTCTGGATAATTATTGAATTTAAATGATTATTTTGAGTAATTGTAAACTAATTTTGATCAAAAAGAATAAAAATTAGTAAGAATGATGTTCAACCATAGAGTTAATTCAAGGAACAAGCGCTACGCGATGTCCAGCGAGAACTCAGTTCATTTGTGTGCAGTTGAACATTCAGAAGCTCATTTTGTAATGGAGTAAAAGATCATGTCTGATAGTGCACTTCATGAACTCATCAAGAAAATGAATCTGAATTCTTATTGGTTGGAACAATATGGTTATCGTGTTAACGTAATTCTCGATTATTCAATCTATGTCTCGAAATTACGCTACAAATTATTAAACTGCTTGAATACCAAAGTAGTTGCACAAGATATAACTACAGTGTTCTACCATTTTCTGAGCAGTATTCACATTTATTAGAAATATAAGTATCAAAGAGGCACTAAAAAACGACAACTTCTCAAATGCGATTTTTGGTCGTATATTATATTGAAATCGGTACCAATGAACTTCGTCCCTGAGAGATCTGAATTTTTGAATTTTTTTCTTATTTCTTACGTGTTCAGCTTTATCAAATAAACGAATAATGTAGATATTGCGTAACCTATCAAGTTGCCGAATAGCTTTCAGCGTTTGATCCTAGCAAGGGTGTGGTGTTAATGAAAAAGAGACTCACACTCACACTCTCACAGGATATCTAGATGCAATGCTCATTAGTATCAATCACAAAATCAAAACTTACATTTACAAAATGTTTGTTTTAACTAATTAATTATCTCATTTAGAAGCCAGCTAAAAGCGTTTTGTTTTGCAGTCTATAGCCTATCATACTACCTTGACTTGAAAAATTATTCGTTTTTGAGTATAGAATGTCGTTACATTTTTATATCAATTATCATAATGTCTCTTGGAAGGAATATTCGGCTCCTGATGGCTAACATGAATTTCTGTTTGATGGTTTTTTGTTGAAATTTATTCATGAATCTATAAAGTAGTGCATCTTTCTTCATTACGGAACGTATGAAGAATAAACTTGCTACTATGTAAGAGTGAAAATACTTCGCAGTTTTACTGATATAATTCCGACTTTGCCGAAGTGGAACTATGATGTAGAGCTCTACGGTGAAAATGATGGCAGAACTAGCGAAAAAACACATACAGATTTCAACGAATATTCTTCGTTAATAGATTGTTTCATCTGAAATAATTAAATATTTCACTTCACTCAATTTTGATTGAGCTAGACTTAGTTTAGATTTTTTGAATGAGTGACAGAAATTCGAATTCGGCAGATAATATCAGATGAATATTGTTCGAAAAAAAATTTGAAAGGACCATTTAAAATTAAATTCAACAATGATATATTACTATTTATTGATTCGAATTATCATCGATACGTCTTCAACAGAGAGAGTATATTAAATACACTTTTATTTATTTTTGTTTCGAAATCAGAAAAAAGTATAAATCAAACAATTACTGTTATATGTATTTCTTTTTTCCTATCGAGAGTTTGCATATTTCTCCACTTTCATATCTTTTAATCCTAAGAGATCATTTTGTTCATCTATACGCTGAAAATGTTCAACAATTTATTGTGGATCAGGTTCAGGTGCACAAATATTTTGTAAATAACAATTACTAGCTGGATCATCTAAAGCAATTGTAACAAATTTGTCTCCAGCAAGTATCGCTGAAATATCATTAAGAAATGATGTCCTTTGATTCTGGTCACTATTTAATTTCTCACTGTCTCCACTACTATATGGTATAATAATAGTTGTTAATGGAGATTTTAATGTTGTAAGGATTCCTTCAACTGTTGTAAATTGTCCACCAATTGATCTTGATTATGATAATTCAAAATCTAGATCAGGTATTGAAAATGATGATACTTCAGAAACTAATATACCTCAATTTAAATCAATTGGATCATTCATAATTAAACAATATTGAATACCTTTAGGTGCAATACCAGTACCAGATTTAACTTCATTCGATTTATTTCCACAAGCATTACATGATGTTACCATAACAAGAACTTCTTTACAGTATGGTATTTGTGTTACTTTCATATGTGTATCACACGAAGGACAATTTGTTTGAAAAGTAAGTACTTCATCTTTTATATCATCAGCTTATTATAACCTAGGCTCATCTTCTTTTGTTTCTTCAGTCATACCTAAAAGTGTATTCTGTTCTGATGTTCGTCGATATTTTTTTAATTTTCATTTGTTCATTACGATATGGTACTTCTGGATTGTCAATAAAAACTATTACCATTTGGATGGATCATCGAGTTCAAAATAAAACGTTTGTAATAAAGTTTCAAATAATAAAACGCGATTAATAAAGGACTCCGTCGGATAACTCAACTTATTCACTTAGAAAAACAAAATACAGGGTTTTGTAGAGCTTGAAAAGTTGCATCTAATGGTATATAAATCAGATTGGTTCTTATTCAATTTCAAGAACTCTTCCTATATGGAATATAAGTTGATATTATCAAATATTTAGATTCAAAGCATTAGATTATCATATGGAAATGATCGTTATCAGAATATGATAACAATTATTATCTTACTTAGTTTTGTAGAGCGCTTTTTGCTCTACAATTTTACTAATTTCATTCTCTTGTTAAAAAAAGAAAATTTTTTTTAATTGATAATGTCAATATTTTTAATCAAAAATCCAGAATTTCAATTTTATTGATATTTTTGTGGTCTTTCATTGTCCTTCAAGACCTAGTGGTACGAACATGATTTTTTCTCAGAAACTGCTCCTACTCATGTTCTATCAGTAGCCATAAAAGCTATATTGACAATCGAAGGGGATGAAGAGAACTTCACCCAGCACTGTGTGGACCTCGCGAATTTTTGTCTTTTTTGCTAATATTTAGAAGATTTTAGCCAAAGGAGTTTACCATTGGTTCAAACCAATAAAATCTGACAACATATTTGGAATCAGCATCGAAAACTGAGTCGAGTTATGTGTGCTTTAAGTGTTTTCACGAACTTTGTTTTTCGCTCAAAAATTCAGCCCGGGTCCCCCTCAGGGTTAGGTCAAAAAATGAATTCCATAAAAATGCTCTTTTTATTGTTTAGTCATTTTCCATTTTAGGTTCTAATAACAAGTTATAAGCTTTGAAATCGATTTGAACTATCTAAACGCTGGTAGATGGAATTCATCTTTTGACCTAATCCTGAGGGGGACCCGGGCTGAATTTTTGAGCGAAAAACAAAGTTCGTGAAAACACTTGAAGCACACATAAGTCGACTCAGTTT